AGGATTATTATTTTATTATTTTTGTTTTTTATTCTTTTCATATTTTTAGAATATTTGTTGTTAAAGATAATAGTTGGTTGTAGAGGTTATGCATTGTTTGTTAAGGTTACGGGTCGGTTGTTAAGGTTACAGGTTTGTTGTTAAGGTTATGGGTTTGTTGTGTAGGTTACGGATTTGTTGTTAAAGTTACGGGTTTAATTGTTAAGGTTACGGGTTTAATTGTTAAGGTTACGTGTTTAATTGTCAAGGTTACGGGTTTAATTGTTACGGTTACGGTTTAATTGTTAAGGTTACGGTTTTAATTGTTAAGGTTACAGGTTTAATTGTTACGGTTACGAGTTTAATTGTTAAGGTTACGGGTTTAATTGTTAAGGTTACGGTTTAATTGTTAAGGTTACGGTTTAATTGTTAAGGTTATGAGTTTAATTGTTAAGGTTACGGGTTTAATTGTTAAGGTTACGGTTTAATTATTAAGGTTACGGGTTTAATTGTTAAGGTTACGAGAGAGAGAGAGAAGGGATCCATAACCTTAACAATTGACCCGTAACCTTAACAATTAAACCCATAACCTTAACAATTAAACCCGTAACTATTTGTGGAAAATTTGTAATAAAAGGATTGAAAGAAAATTGATTTGTATTCCTTCGATCTCAGTTACAATTGGATTTCCTGATTACAAAAGAGAGGAGAATGATCTGGATTCTCCCATTTGTTTAATTCTGGGTTCTTCACGGTGGCGATGGAGTGCCTCCTTCGAATGCTTGCGTCGAATTTGCTCTCCGTTGACGATCCGACGTTTTGCTTCACTGGAACGATGTCTTCTCCTCACGGTTTGACGCTGTGGAGAACTTGCAAAGCAAGTTTTAGAACTCTGAACGAGTTTAGAAGAACTCTGTAAAAGAGTTGATTTGAACCAAAAATCGGTTAATAAGCCAAGGCCAGAAGAAAGCTCCGGTGGTCGATCTCCAAAGATCCAAATCGAAGATCCCCAAAAAGAAGCCAAAGATCTCCTCCTCGCTGCCAAGTCTCAGATCCCCAAAAGCCAGCCCGAACTCAATTGAGTTTACCCATATTTATAAGGAATTAAGGGGTGTAACCGCCCCCTTAATTCTCTCCATAATGGGGTTGAGAGGGGTGTAACCGCCCCCTTAATCCGCTCCTAAGTGGGGCGGAAATCCCTCAAATTGTGAAGGGAAAACGGTTCTTGTAACCGTTCAGCTTATGTTTGAACGAGTCAAACGCCCACGTTGGCGTTCAAGATCCTAACTCCGCGTTTTAGAATGAAGACGCGGAGTTGGGTACTCGCTGGGTGTTGAAAAACACGAGGACCGTCTGCGCTTCGTTTGCTGAAGCTTGGAAACACGAGGGTCGCTCGCGTTTTGCTTGTTGAAGCTTGGAAACGCGGGGGTCGCCTACATTTCAGGAATTGAAACGCGAAGGTGAATTCCGCGTTTTAGAAGAAGCTAATGGCTTATAACTTCTTCTGTAGAGCGTTGCAAAGGCCGTTGTTCAGTAATCTTCGTCTTGGCTCCTTGAAAAATATGAGAGTCGTCAGGTTGTAACTCCTGATGTTGATTGTGAAGGTTGTTGATTAGAGCTTTTATCAGTTGTTACGAAGGTCGTCATATTGTAACCTTCATCGATCTACGTGAAAGTCTTTAAATTATAACATTCTGGAAGTCGTCAGATTGTAACTTCCATCATCGGTGTTTGATGGGGGATCAACTATCTATTGTGATTTTTTGACAGCCTACAGTAACCTTAACAATTAACCCGAAACCTTAACAATTAAACACGTAACCTTAACAATTAAACCCGTAACCGTAACAATTAAACATGTAACCGTAATAATTAAACCCGTAACCTTAACAATTAAACCTGTAACCTTAACAATTAAATCCATAACCTTAACAATTAAACCATAACCTTAACAATTAAATTGTAACCGTAATAATTAAACTCGTAACCTTAACAATTAAACATGTAACCTTAACAATTAAACCCGTAACCTTAACAATTAAATCCGTAACCTTAACAACAAATCCGTAACATACACAACAAACCCATAACCTTAACAACCAACCCGTAACCTTAACAAACAATGCATAACCTTTACAACCAACAATTATCCTTAACAACGAATATTCTAAAAATATGAAAAGAATAAAAAATGAAAATAATAAAATAATAATCCTCTTCAATCATTTCAATATTATCAAAGTAACATCATGATAGAGAGAGAGAGAGAGAGTGATGATTCATAACCTTAACAATTGACCCGTAACATTAACAATTAACTCGTAACCTTAACAATTAACCCGTAACTTTAACAATCTCCTAATACAAACAACAAAAATAATAAAAAATAAAAATAATAAAATAATCATCATTAATCATTTCAACTATCATCTTAGTACATTATGATAAAGAGAGAGAGAAAACGAAAATAATAAAATAATCCTCATCATATTTTAATAAAAAAAGAAAGAGAGAGAGAAGGGTATTATGGTCTTCACATATTTTAATCTCTTGGGTTTTGTGTTTTGGGGGCTCAGAGAACAGAATCTTTATTTTTAGGGGTAAAACACCCATTGACCAAGTCTTGGGGGTGGGAAGCACGTTTCCTTAGCTTTTGGGGGCTGGAAGCATTTTTCCCAATAATAAATTTAATTTGAAAAAATAGGGATGTAGAGATTCAAACCTAGAATCATTTGGTTGCTTTTGCAGGCCACACTTCAGTTGCATAATTAATAGAAAAAATACTATTCATTTTCACAGTAGCTACAGTACTAACCCCAATAACTTTAGCACATATATAAATTATGAAAAATGCAAAAGTTAAGAAACTGATATGACAGGAAACCTTTTTTAAGTGGATGGGTTTCAAAATAAAGGGAATAAAACTTTTAGATTTATATGCGCAGAAATATATGTTTGTTGAAATATTAGTGGCGAGTATCAAACCTAGGATCATTTCATTTGTGAGGTAAAGTCTTACCTTATGAGACAAGTATTACTTCTTTTTCAAGTTCACATAGTTTATCTAATAATCTATTGGGTTTTGTGCTGTAGAATGATCAGTACAAAACCCTACAGCACGAAACCCTATAGCTTTGGAGGCTGTTTGGTTTATCCAAAGTTTATGGAAAGAGTTTGGATTTAATGAACATTTCCGCAAATCAATGCGACCTTTTACTATTTTCCATCAAATTCTACAAAGTTTTCTTATTTATTTACCATTTAGAGACCACAAGGAAAGGTGAGACAGCTCACTCCCATTAGGGTATCTCTAATAGCTTCTCCAAAATTTTCTCCAAAATGGGAAAGCAAAAGTCATATTCTCCAAATTATTTTTACACCGACTCCAACAGCTTCCCCATTTTGAAGAATCTATTTTTTCCTCTAAAAATTTGGAGAATGCTGCAGATTTGGGGAAGCTTCCTCATTTTTTCTCCTCCATCCCTATTTTGGGGAATGAGATGTGGAATCTGTTGGACCAAAAATCTAACTAAATTCTCCACAAATAGAAAATGAGGAAGCTGTTGGAGATGCTCTTAGGGGTTGTTTGTTTGCCTAAAAAAAGAGGAAAATCAAAGAATAGAAAATCTATTTCTAAGAAAATTTATTTTGAGATTGTATGGTTGGCTAAAAAAAGGAAATCAAAGAATGAGAGATGAGTTGTCACATATTATTGGATGATGTAGGTGATTTTTTAAGAAAATTTGTTTTGAGATTGTTTGGTTGGCTAAAAAAAAGAAAATAAATTATAAGAAACATAGTTCATGTATTAGGTTCCTTTTCTTATATTTGGTTCATTCATAAAAATAAGAAAATAGATGCGATGAGATGAGTTGTTATTATATTATTGGATGATGTGACCCACACTTAAAGAAATCGATTTCCTAGCTTTTTTGAAGGAAATTGGTGAAAATGAAATGTTAATGAGATGAGATGAGTTATCACCATATTATTGGATGATGTGAGTGATTTTTAAAGATCAGCTGTGATGGAGATGAGATGAGTTGGATGATGTGACACATTTCTTGTGTTTGGTTTATTTTTAGGAGATGATATGAGATGAGTTGTGAGATAAAAATAATATTTTATTGGATGTTGTGGTGAATTTTAGGGATGAGAATAGATGAAAATAATATTTTATTGATTTGCATGTGCCATTTTCCTTTTTTTTATTTTTAGGAAACCAACCAAACAGCCCCTTAGTCAATGGGACTCTAATCAAGGGAAACTCATTTCAATTTAGGGAGGAAATAGATTGATTTTTTTTTTATTTCTTTACAAGTTTCTTCTTTTCAGTTTTTCTAGAAAGCCAACTAATCAACCATTTGGTATATAAATAAATAAATGAAATGATGTCATGGGCTGACGGCTCACTTTGTTAAATAAGCTATCAAAAAATAGATTTGTAAGGTCTAACTATTTTGATGCGACTAACGGGTTGTTTGGTTCCCTGTGTTTGAGTGAAATGCTCTCTTGAAAGCTTGTCAAAAGTGCCAAACTTTCAAGCAAAATCGCCTATCTTTTAGAGAGGCGAAAGAGAGATGATTTTGCTGAAAACCTGCCAAAGAAGTGACATTTTGACAGACTTTTAAGGGAAAATATTTCTGAACAAACGGACTCTAACAAGATAAACTTCAACACATGACTATTTCTTAATAGTTTAATTAGCCATTTATAACTTCCAAAGATAAATCATAACAAATATAATTTTTGCAAGACGTGGACCATAAACAGAAAGCGATGCTGAGCAAGTTTAAAAAAGCAATGGGATAAGGGTCAATATGGCACAAGAGGTAAGTCACTCGAAAAGCCAAACCCATTTCCCGCCACCAAACTCCAAAAAACCACACGGTTCCAGGGTGCACCGAACCCAAAGCGGACCCACTACCAGGATCCAAAGCAACGTACATGGGTCCCATATCCCCTGCAAATATCTCTCTCCTACTTCTTTTTTCCTACTTCAAAATTATATTATTATTTTATCTCCCCTACCTCTGTTGCCCCTTTCTCTTTTGGACCTTTGCTTTGAGCTGCACAGTAGCTGACATCGCTCTTCTCGTGACCGGCATCACTCTTTTGTCCACCGCTCTCTCCTCCACAGAAATCTCATGAACTTCTCTCTTTATCTCGATCTGGTTCAGTTTCAGGTATAGATTCTCTCTCATCTTTTTCGGTGGTTTTTTCTGAATTTTTTTGTTGATTAGAGGTGTAGAGGTGTTGAAATCGGGGTTGTGAGTTGAAATACTTCAAGATTGTAATTTTCAAGGTAAATAATTCATTTTTCCAGAAATTGAGGTTCTGAATTGAATTTTTCAATATTGCAGTTTTTGTTCCGCAAATCTGTTTAATCTTTTGCTGCAATGAGGAAAAAAGCCTAAATTTTCATTTTTCTGGCATTTTTTTTTGTTGAAATATGTTACATCTAAGTTTGTCACTGTAACTGTCTCATTATTAAGGTACCAACAAAGATTTTGTATTTAAATTTAATTTTCTCATGATTGTTACAGAATATTGGGCCACTGCACATGAAAGAGCTGGTTACATTTGATTAATGTTGCTGGAATGAAATAAAAAGCCAAAAAATTGTTTTTATTTATTTGATTTGATTTCTGGGTGGCAAAAGAAATGGATTAACGCAGAAATACGCTATATCTGTTATTTTCTTATTAAAATTTTCTTAACAATCTACTAGAAAGGAATTTATTTATTTAAAATTTAATTTTTTTTATTGATTGTAACAGGATTAATGGGGGTGCCGCACATGAAAGAGATTTTGGGTTATCATTATTAGTTTAGGCTGAGATTTTGGGCGATTGCTCCCTTCAAATGGCTTCGTCTGCTGCTAGTACTTCTGAAATTGTTGAAGAGAAAGACGAATTTGATTTACTTCGTAATTTTGGTAGGGCTAATCGATTGAAAATCAAGCCGAGAGCTACGAAATGTAAGCCAGATTCTGGGCTGGGGGTTTCTGAATCTCCAAGCCTGAAACAGGCATTGAGAAGACTGTGCATTTCTCAGGCATCAGAAATGGCTGCTATAAAAAGGTCATCGAAGTTGTTAGGATCGGCAAGTGTTTCTGACGCTGAAACAATCGAACGGTTGTACGCATCGATTGTTGTTGAAGCAAACAAGGAGAGTCTTTTGCTAGAAAAAGAGACCAAGAATTCTACTAAGAAAGAAATTCAAGTTGGTGAAGCACGAGATGTAAAATCATCTTGCAAGAGCTCTCGTATTTCGGCCTTGAGAAATTTAAAGATGAGAAGAACCCAAGATTTGTTAACAGTGGAGCACAAGTCATTTTCTAAAAAGAAAGGGAAGCAGAAATCAGTACAAGCAGCGGATAGTCTTATTAGTAGATTAAATAAATTTAGTTCCAATAGCAAAGATGGTGGACATTTTGCTATCCAAAAGGATGAAGGTTTAGTTTCAAGGGAAAAGGGGGAATGTTCTGAAAGCTCCCAAAGTAGCTTAGGTGATTCTATTAGCAGCAGTACCATCAGCGAGGAGAGCAGTTATTGTCGCTCTAGTAGCAACTGCAATCGCCCACACATGTCAAAAGATGTGAGGTGGTCAGCCATCAATCATGTTGTGAAGGAGCATGGAAGTTTAGGATTGAAGAACTTCAAGCTTCTAAGAAGAATTGGATGTGGAGATATCGGGACAATTTATCTTGCGGAGCTAATTGGAAGTGGATGCTTATTTGCCTTGAAAGTCATGGACGTTGAATTTTTGGTCAGTAGAAAGAAGATGCTTCGAGCACAAACTGAAAGAGACATACTACAAATGCTGGATCATCCATTTCTTCCGACATTGTATGCACATTTCACAGCAGATAACCTCTTATTTTTTGTTATGGAATATTGTACTGGTGGTGATCTGCATGTTCTTCGCCAGATGCAACTTGACAGGAGGTTTCATGAACCAGCGGCTAGGTATGTTGGCACCAGCATCATATCTCTCTCTCTCTCTCTCGATATATATATATAGTTGGCGCATGTGGCTAAATCTGGAATAAAATAGATATAAATCAGAGAGAACTGAAAGAAAGTTGAAGTGCTATATTTTAAAACTTTTTCAAGTTAGTTGTTGTGCGTTTGTGAAACGTTGTGCTTAAAGCAATATTTGACCTACTCCGGTGCAAGGATCCCAAGGCCAAACTGCTTCCAGGAACAGCAGTACAGTATAATGGTGTGCACCAACCAAGTACTGTCAAGATCTCCTCGATCTATAAGACATTTCGGTCAAGGCAACGATCTCCTCGATCTGTTAAAACCTTTCGGTCCAGGCAAAGATCTTTTGATCTGTAATAATCTTTCGGTTCAGGCAAAGATCTTTCAATCTGTAATAACCTTTCGGTTCAGAACTATATTCCTTTGGGTATAGACTAAAGCTTGCACGCTTTTAAACTCTGCAGCAACACAACAGCTTAACAGATTCAATCTGTTCAAGTTTTACAACACTTTAGTGTTTCTCTCTATCCCAAGAGCTGTCCCAAGGGGCACTATTTATAGGCCTCTAAGGCCAGCTTAAGGGTCACCCACAATCAATTTGACCGTTACAAATCATAATAACAATTATGATTGTAACAGCAAATGACTTAATTGCTGTAACTGCTGCATGCAGTAACGCCTAAACGCGAGGGTCGCGTCGCGTCTCCGCCTCGCGACACGAGGCTCGCACCTTCGCGCAACGTGAGGGTCGCACCCTCGCACGAACGCGAGGATCACATTCCCTCTACAAACGCGAGGGTCACACCCTCTCGCACAAACGTCGAGGTGGCATCAAAGGGCGCCACCTAGCCCCGATGCATCCGTGCAAAGTGCACTTTACAAAGAGTCACTTAGCGTCTCAGCCCGATTAGCCCCGATCCCCGGCCCATTGGCCCACGAGCCCATGAACCCACGACCCACTAGTACTTATGAGGGATTCATTGATTTATTTAAGACAATAATTCTCGGTTTGCCTACATCAAGCCTCGAACTCAGGACTTTTTGAAACACCAAAACTGTTACTTTTCACTACACTACTGAAAAATACCAACAGTTAGTAAATATATAGTTTGAAAACTTATTTTGGAAAGCGGTTTTGACCAAAAAACTTTTTAGCCACTTATATTGTCTAGGGATCCTTACATGATATAAAAATGTTTTTTATATTAATAAATAAATGGCTAGGAAGTTTGGTGGACATCAACTTAAGTTGATAGGAGTCTTTCTCTCTCTCTCTCTCTCTATATATATATATATATATATATATATATATATATATTATTAATATAGATATATACTATATATAATATTATAATACTACTCATATATATAGTAACGAGAGACAAGAGAGAGAGAGAGTAAAGCTCCTATAAACATAAGTGGATAGGAGCATTTATCCACCAAACTTTTATCCGTTCAATTATGTTTCGAGATTTATGCTACACATCAATGCTGTCTTTTGAGATTTGTGCCTTCATCTGTATTATGTGCTTAAGTAACAATCTCATGCAAATCAATGGATAAAGAGAGTTTGTGGAACAAAGGCTCCTAATCCACTTAATTTAGTAGGAAGCTTTATCTCTCTCTCATCTCTATATATGTATATATATATATATATTATATATATATATATTATATCATATATATATTATATATTATAATATATATCTACATGTGAATGGAAAATTCTTGATTTTTCTTTCATTTGTTACTTAAAGTGGAAGTACCTTGTTGTTAGTTAATAGGTATGTTCTCAAATTCAATGACAATGAAATAATTGCCCTCTTGAAGGTGCAAAAAGTTGATATTTGTTGGTAGTGAGCACGATCATACTCATGGACGAAATAGCATAGATAAGGTGTTGTGCGCAGCGAAAATTTCGGCAGAGTTTCTGGTGCACAATAAGAGAGAAAGATCGATAAGAATTCTTGTTTCTCAAAGGGAACAAGAATCTGAATCCTAATATCCCATCAAAGTGAGATATTTGCTCTTCCTCTCGTCAGCTCTAGGACTGCGCGTCGAGGGATCCTAAAAACTATTACAATGGCCACAAACTCAAACAAATCAATTTTACGTGGTTCGACAAACTGCCTACGTCCACGGGGCAAGGAGGGGGGATCTACTATTAGAGAGGAGAGAATACAACTAGGTTTACAACTTTCACAATTTAAACCCTCAAATTAACTCTCCAATCTCTCACAAAAGACTCTCAACAGGATGCACACAACCCAAAAATAGGCCTCTGCCTTTTCTTTGCATAGCCGCAACTGAGTTTTCTCCAAAGCCAACGCGTCCTTCGCACCAGCCCCTCTTTGCTTCGGTTTGCACGCCGTTTTTTTTCCCCAAGCCCTCCTTTTCACGCCCAAGCCAATTGTTCACGAAACCCTAGATGCTATATTTATAGCAACTGGGGAAAAAACACACCTGCTGTTCACGTGCCTGGCCCCACACGTTATCACAACACGCGGTTTGCTGGCCGAAGCAACGAAAAACACGTTCAACTACTACATCTATCACGAAAGCAAAGAAAACTTATGTGGGTTGTGGTCCCCACTTCACGTGACTTCACAATTCTCCACCTCGGTGAAGTTTTCTCAAAACTGAGCCGACACCAATCAAAACAAATGCCTCACTTGTTGTGTCCAGTACGAAGTGAAACAATTCACGACAATGGACTCAATCCATAACAAGTTGAGAACCCAAATGAGAATGCGAACACTCTCCAAATGTCGGTATCAACTCACCAAATCGATCTTACCCCCATCAAATAATCCAACCCGGCTGCATCATAAAGACTGCCTACGTATCCTCTTGCCCAAGGAATCAAGCCGAACGTAGTTCGCCCAAATGGCCTCCAAAGGCCTCAATCCACTAGAAGAGTTCGCAACCCTTCTCTAATATCATCAACTCTGTGGCTGATAGCACCTCCAATGGTCTCAAACACCTCCACCTGAGGTGAACCAATGGTCATATCCAAACTGCATCTATCAGCTGCACTCGAGTCAAAACCCAACTCATCATCTGCATCCGAATCCAAATGACTTCCACGCTGTGTCACATCAGCTGGAATCCCAACCAATGCAGAATGACCTGGAGTATGTGGGAAAATCCCCACCCAATGTGGAGTAGCATCAATCTCCACCCGCTGCAATACCTCTAAGGTCTGTCTAAAACTCTCCACCTGCTGAGAGTCAATTGGCTCCCTCATCGAAGCCTCAACCAAAGTGACACTACCAGACCTATCTTCCAATAGAGTTATACCTCCAATCACAGCAGTTGACAAGTCTTTAATAGGATGACCCAAATACGTCGAAGCCTCTGTCCAGAAACTCTTCTACAAACCATTGCTCGACCACAAACACCGATCCTCCTCCAGTAAGGCACGGTTCTCCAAATTTATCACCCTATTTAGTTGTCCCAAGATTTCCTTTCCAACGAAGTGTCTCGAAATGCCGTGAGTTCGGCTCCAATACAGAAATAGGTCCATCTTGTACCTCCCATCAGAATGGAGTACCTTCACCTTTCTGTCTATTACATACTTCTTCAATCTGTTAGAGACTACTAGGACTTTCTCCAATGAGGATTTGGTTGCAACCCAAACACGCCTAGAATAGCCACCAACAAAGGAAACCAAACGCCTATTACCTCCCAATGATGCCCCCTTGGAAGGCCCCCAAACATCCACGTGAACTCCTCCAGAACGACCCTTAGCACGGTGAATAGAGGTGCCACACTTCACCTCGGTCTTCTTGCTCACATCAACATGTTCACTGGACTTCAAATTGCAGGTCTTTACACCCTCTTTCAATCTATGCGAGGAATCAATACTGGAATGGTCAAGCCCCAAATGCTGCAGTCTAGTTGAATCAACAGAAGTCGTCAGCTCTCCACCTGCCATTATACCTCCAGTCAAGTAATACAGGTTATTTCTCCTGACGCCCTTCATCAAAATAAGAGAGTCTCTCGCAATCTCGAGAACCATGTCCTCAACACGAACCTTTAGACCCTTTCCAACCAAAGCTCCAATCGAGATCAAGTTCTTCCTCAAAGAAGGAACATATCTCACATCGTTTAACTCTCTAACAGTCCCGTCAAACATCTTGATGCGAATTCTTCCTATCCCAAGGATCTGGCATGCACGGTTATCAGCCATGTACACCACACCACTATCCACCAGCTTCTTAAAACTGGAGAACCATTCCCTTCTAGGGCACACATGATAGGTCGCACCACTATCCAACATCCATTCAGATTCCTCCGAATAGCTATCTGTAGGACTGATAGAAAGCGAATAAATAGAAGAGTCAGAATTATTACCATCCGATACGATGTTTGCTTCTGATGATGGTTGCTTCCCTTTTTCCTTCTGCTTATTCTTCATCCATTCGTCGATCTTTGGATAATCTTTTCTTCCAATGACCAGTCTCCTTGCACCAAGCACACTGATCTTTTCCTACTCTAGACTGTGACTTCTAATTCTTCCGATTTGGATTCTTCCCTCTTGCGACCAACGCCTCTGCTACCGACTCAGTCGAATTCTCCTTATCCTTCTTTCGACGCTGATAATTCACCAATACAGCAGTGACCTCACTATACGAAAGTGATGCCTTCCCATTAATCAGAGTAAGGACGAAGGTCTCATATTCCTCGTCGGGCAAGGAACTCAACAACAGCAACGCCTTGTCCTCATCTTCAATCACGACATCCACATTCGCCAAATCCGCAAGAAGCTTAGTGTAGTGGTTCATGTGATCTCTAATGGAGGTTCCCTTCTTCAACTGGAAACGATAAAGTCTCCTCTTCAAATGCAAGCGATTTTCCACACTCTTGGTCAAATACTTGCTTTCGAGAATCTCCCAAATCTTCTTCGCAGAAGTCTCATTCATCACATCATATTTTAGATCTTGAGTCAAACAAGACCTAATCACACCACACGCCGTTCGATTCATCTTCTTCCAAACCTTCTCTTCAATCTCATCTGGCTTGCCATCTAACTCCAATGTATCCTCCAAATTCTGCGCGTTCAGCGCATCCAAAACCTCGTATCTCCATAATCCAAAGTTGTTTGTGCCATTAAATTTCTCCACATCTATCTTCATAGAGTGGATATTCAAACTCTGAATGGTCTTCGCGCCAGAAGCACCACCCTCGACACCTGAAGCACCTTCTTTCCCCGACATCTTACGCACCAACGAACGAAGAATAGATTCAAAACTAAAAAGATAGAGTCTTTACCAAAAAAGATCCCACCTTTATCACCAATGAAGCCCTAAACGAGCCTCCAAATTGATCTACTCCTCCAACCAAACCCTAGATCTGGAATCTGGGTTCTGATACCATTTATTGTGCGCAGCGGAAATTTCGGCAGAGTTTCTGGTGCACAATAAGAGAGAAAGATCGATAAGAATTCTTGTTTCTCAAAGGGAACAAGAATCTGAAGCCTAATATCCCATCAAAGTGGGATATTTGCTCTTCCTCTCGTCAGCTCTAGGATTGCGCGTCGAGGGATCCTAAAAACTATTACAATGGCCACAAACTCAAACAAATCAATTTTACGTGGTTCGGCAAACTGCCTACGTCCACGGGGCAAGGAGGGGGGGAGATCTACTATTAGAGAGGAGAGAATACAACTAGGTTTACAACTCTCACAATTTAAACCCTCAAATTAACTCACCAATCTCTCACAAAAGACTCTCTCAACAGGATGCACACAACCCAAAAATAGGCCTCTGCCTTTTCTTTGCACAGCCGCAACTGAGTTTTCTCCAAAGCCAGCGCGTCCTTCGCACCAGCCCCTCTTTGCTTCGGTTTGCACGCCGTTTTTTTCCCCAAGCCCTCCTTTTCACGCCCAAGCCAATTGTTCACGAAACCCTAGATGCTATATTTACAGCAACTGGGGAAAAAACACACCTGCTGTTCACGTGCCTGGCCCCACACGTTATCACAACACGCGGTTTGCTGGCCGAAGCAACGAAAAACGCGTTCAACTACTACATCTATCACGAAAGCAAAGAAAACTTATGTGGGTTGTGGTCCCCACTTCACGTGACTCTTCACATAAGGGACATGGAGTACAGACATGATGACATAGAATCAAAAAATAAAATAAAATAAAACATAGCTGTTGTGTATATTATTTCTTTGGAAATATTTAGCTTGAAACTAGATATTTTAGGTTGATTTTTTGGCGATTATTATTTATATCCCATATTATGGAAAGATTTATCTAGCAACAGAAATGCATGGGGTATATTGAAGAAGGCTACTTGGCTATGATCTTCCTTCTGCTAGGTATCTAATAGTCGAGGTCAGATGGATGTAATCTGGTTTGTTCGGTTTAATGTGGTGCTTCTACAATAACTAAGAAGTTGCTTTCTAGATTTTTGCACATTATTAAGTATGTTCCGTTATAACTTTATGCGCCTGCCATTTTGAGATGAAGCTGTACATGCTAGATTCCTTGTATGTATCACAGTGAACTTCATAATATGATATCACTTAACTCTTTGATTTACTTTGTCAAGAATAGTTCCCATGAAGACAAAATGGTACTATTCTAAAATTTGACTATGGGAAATGAACAAGTACTTAAGAAGCATACACAACCCTTGTGTGGCTGTGTCTGTGTAATACTTCCTTGTATCTATGAGTTTTTTTTTTTTTACTTCGTTGACAAATATATATCCCTTAATTTCTAATCTGACATTGGCCTGCAACTTCTGCAGGTTTTATGTTGCAGAAGTCCTGCTTGCTTTGGAGTACCTCCACATGGTAGGGGTTATCTACCGCGATCTCAAACCAGAAAACATTCTAGTTCGAGAGGATGGACACATCATGCTCTCCGATTTTGATCTGTCAATGAAGTGCAGTGTCAGCCCAACCTTTCTCAATTCCTCTTTATCCAATGCTAAAACCCTACAAAAGAAGGTACCTGGGCAATGCACGAGCACGAGCTGTATGGAACCCTTCTGCTTCACTCCTCGTTTGCTAAAATCCAATGTTGCCCGTGTCAGCCGCCTTCCTCAGCTCGTGGTGGAGCCCACCGATGCCCGTTCAAATTCCTTTGTAGGGACCCACGAATACCTCGCTCCAGAGATCATCAGAGGCGATGGGCACGGAAGTTCGGTTGATTGGTGGACCCTAGGGATATTCCTTTACGAATTGTTATTCGGTAGGACTCCCTTCAAGGGTTCTGGGAACGAAGACACTTTAGCAAATGTGGTTTCTCTAAGCTTGATATTTCCTGAGAGTCCAGTTGCTAGTGTTTCTGCTAAGGATTTGATTAGAGGGTTGCTGACAAAGGATCCTGAAAGGAGACTGGGGTCAGTGAGAGGGGCAGCTGAGATTAAGCAGCATCCGTTCTTTGAGGGTCTTAATTTGGCATTGATTCGATGCACAGAGCCTCCTGAGGTGCCAGGAATATATAGCGCTGAGATTAATCAGGTGACCAAAGTACAGGAAGCAAAATATGTAGATTTTTGACCAGCTTTTCTGAAGAGGTATGTTTCCCTACTTGCAGAAATTTCTTAGCCTGTGTAGTATTAGTTGCTAACTTTGATTGAACATGTATTTTTGTTTCAGTAATAGACAACAAGAAGTTAATCATCATTTTGCTTCACAAACGAAGAAATAGTGATGATGATCTGCTTACAAGGACACTTGAGGTCCAGGAGGATAATACATGTTCACTATAACTAGAGCATTATTGACTGTAATTGAGATCTAAGATACATATGTAGTTGATCATCTCGGGCATTTCATGCTCGACATTCTAGTTTGCTGCTCGATATCCCGTCGCAATCAAAATTGCCGATGATGGTCATGTCTGAGGCCTGAAATCTCATGTGATTAGAATCTGAACGCACCATGAGAATTCTCCTCTTGTAGAAGTACGAGGCGGACAAGATCGGATTATGATTGTAGTATACATGTGTCAAAGTATATAGTATCGTTTACATACCGATTGTAATATGTAATTCTGAAATGGAAGTTACGGGGACATTTATGTCGTCCAATGTGCAGCTCATGAAACTTTTATTATTATTATTTATTACAGTTTTAGCAAACTGTATCAACAATTATCTGGTTTTAAGAGCTAAAATTTCCGCAGGTGTTGAATTTTGCTTCATAATTGCTGTGTCAGTGTAACATAAACAATGGAGGAAAGGACGTTGGCGATGTCCATGGATGTGGAGTTGAGAGTTTTTTGCCCTTAATCAACTCACCACTAGAAAGTCAAATTCAATTTTGTCACTGTCAGTATAGTGAGATTGAAATCGGGAACTTTAACTATTTTGGAACTTTTAACTATTTTCAGTCTCAGGTTTAATTGAGCAGGGTAAACTATAGAACATCTCCATGAGTTCGCATAGTTTGCAGAAAATCTTCCTAAGTTTGTAACAATTCTATCCCTCTCTCTATTTTAATTTCTAACAAATTAACTTAGGCATAATATCATAGAATATGATAATTATATCACGCTCGTATAGACACATATATGATTATTGTATATAAAATCAATGGCTACATCTGAAATTGATGATTATTTGAGTAGAAATTGAAAATAATGGGGGCAAAGTGTCATTTGTAAAACCTAAGGGAGATTTTCTGGCAACAATGCAGAAAAACTCTAAAATCTAAGAACTTGTGATTTAATCTTTTTGGGTTCAATATAATATACGTCTAAATTAAGTTTGTTTACGGTGTTTTTTCATGGGGGTTAGAGGATGGAAGGGAGGGTAAAATTTTATAAAATCTTTGTTTAAGAGTTTTTTTTAGGAGTTGAAAGATGGAAAGGAAGGTGAAATTTGGTAGGATTTTACTCCGCTCCAAATTGGGCAATAAAGCGAGTAAAAGAAATGGGTGTAAATTTTACAATATGGAGAAACAATTTTACATTTATAATTTATTAGTTGACAAAATGTAATGTAAGTATATTTATGTAACTTTATATATATCATACTCCCTTTAAAAGCACAAGATCGAGAAAATCTTTCTACGGTCAATATTACCCTTCACTATTTTAAATATTTTATTTATATTTTAATCTATCATATTCCTAATTATATCATATCCTAATCCAACATGAACTATCTATAGCTTAACAATTTAAAAAATAATATTAATAAAATATAAAAAATATCTTTATGGTATTAGTTTGTTAAGATAAAGAAATTATACGTAGCTAACATACTATAATACATAAAGTATTATGAAAAAAGCCAAAAAGTTTTAAAATTGCACAAAATACCCTGAAAAGTTTAAAATTATAAAAACCATCATGACGTCTGGAAACTTAAAATAATAAATATAAAATTAAGAAATTAATAGTAGTTTGCGAAGAATTTAAAATTTATGAATAACACCTCAATGTCTCAAAAATTATAGAAACACCCTCAAAAGTTTAAATTACAAACAAGCACCTGAAATTCTAAAATTTTAAAACTTACAAATAACATAGATGAATTCAAGGGATTATCATAATAGACCTAAAAATTTCTGACATTTTAGAACATAAAACAACAAATATAAAATTAAGAAATTAACACAAGCCTATGAAGAATTTAAAATTTTCAATTAATACCCTCAATATCCCAAAAGTTATAGAAATACCCTCAAAAGTTCAAATTATAAAAACAATCCTAAAATTCTAAAATTTTTAAAATTTACAAACAACAAAAGATAAACTCAAGAGATTACCCTCGTGCACCTAAAAGTTAAAAATTTATCGAAATTAACCTCAGAGTTACAAAAAATGTAGAAAAATTCTTTCAAAATTTAAAAATTGTAAAAAAAAAACTCTAAATTGTTAAAATTTATAACCAGTACGCATTAAATATTGAAACTATTGGTAGACCACTGAAATTTAAATTTTTTAAAAATTAATCTATAGTTTTAGCAATTATAAAAAACACCCTTAAAATTTCAGAATTGCAAGAAATATAACTTACAACTACCAAACTTAAAAGTAATTTTTAAAAAAACACTTCCAAAGTTTTAAAATTACAAATCACACCCTAAAAGTTCAAAACCACAAAAAGGGGCTAGAATTTCAAATCAACGGCTTAAACACTAAGTCGATCACACATTGTCTTTTCCAAAAGTTTAAAATATCTAACTTTTATAAATTTCTTATACAGCTAAATAAAGTATACTGCAGCTAAAATACAGGCCTACATACCTACAACCAATCAGCTTTGGATGCTTAAAGAAGAAGAAATTTGGTCAAAAAGGCTACATGAAAAGTAACTATTCTGCCTTGGATACCGAAAGATGCTTCATTTTTGTCAAAAATGCTAGGCTACTCTACGTCCCTTAGGTGTTGACAAAATTGAAGACGGTGGGGACCTCCAAGCTTTAAAGAATGAAAAAGAATCTTTTGCATAGTTCCAGAAAAAGTCTATAAAAGGAGAAGGAGTTGAGGCATTCAGGGAGGCGTTTTGGAGAGTTGAAGTCCTATCCTCTCTAGTGAAATCCCTCCAGTTTCCTCTTTTTAGTTTTAAGTTTTAGTTTGAGTGAGGTTTGCTTTTAATCTTTCTTTTGAGTGTTTTGTAAGATAAGTGTGCTCTACTACTAGCTCCAGCAGGATCTCCCAGCTTTCGGTTTGTAAGTGTTTAAGTTTGATTTCCTTCTAGTTTGTAAATCTCTTATGTAAATACTATCTAATTTGCTTCTGTTACTGTTCATTTCCGCCTCTGTTGCTATTCATTACTGTTCACGCTTTTACTGTTCATTTTTACTATTCATTTCTATATTTTTTCTTTTATTTTTGATATACATGTGAACGAAGAAGAAGATATAGCTATAAACAATAGATATATCCTCTCCTCCGTCTACACAGTAATCCCCACGAGCTAGCTCTATCGTATCAAGGCTAAACAAGTCCTGGTCACGGTTGGTATCAGAGCCAAGTTAGCCGGTGTCGACCTGCGGTGGTGAACCCATAGACCCCGTCAGCCGGTGTATATCCCAGTGAGAAACAACTCACTCTTTAATACTTTTGCACAATCTACAAGAAAACAATTGTAGAAATTTGTAGTAAAAAACTACTACAAAATACTGCATGCTTGATTGCTTTTATTTCTTAGCTTTAATTCTAAGCATTTTATTATTCAGCCTTATCGCTTTAATCATAAGCACTACTCTGGTTTTACTTCTTTCTTTGAATTGAATTTTAATTCTCTATCTTTTTCTAGTATTATCTAGAATCTCTAGCATTTTCTAGTCCTCTTTCTTTGTTCTCTTTTTACTTGCCTTCGTCGCAACTTACACAGCTTTGTTCTGTGTTCATCCGGTGTTGTTGACTGGTGGGGACATTGCGAACTTTTTAGAGTCCTTCTTATGCTTGAGTTTTAGCTTGATCTTTTGCTATCTGCTTAAAGTCTTTTTATCCTTAACTAGTTGTCGCAGTTCACACGGTTTTGTCCGTTAAGCTTTGTTTGCGTCTAGGGCCTTTCTGTCCGTGTTCATCCCTTGCTGTTGATAGGTTGGGTTTTAAAGTCTTTCTTTAGATGCCTAAGTTTCTAAGCTATCCTTATGTCAAAACCATGACGGTTAAAAATTCATATCTCAAGCCTAAAAATATAAATGTTATTGAAGATTTCACTAATAAATCATCTTTTGAAATCAATAAAGATTTCGTAAGGAAAGATTTTAACTCTTTAAAAAACAAAGAAAAAAAGGAATGGTTTTTTCAAACATACGACAAAGACTTTAGATCATCCATTAGAACCTTGTATTATGATTTCATGCGAACCAACAAACAAAATATACCTTTTTTCTTATGGTTCGAAGCCATATATTTTTAGAAGATCTAAAAAACTCTCTTAAACATCTTCCTATTGAAAATAACGCGTTTGTTTTAAAAACAATATCTAATACATGGAAAATAGATGAGAATAAAGAGATAGAATCTTTACATCCACCCTTTGAACCAATAAAGGTAGGAAATGAAAATATTAAAGCTGTCCCTATCACATCTTTAGAACCTTCTGGTTGGGTACCCGTGCAAAGGGATATTACCCTTGTGGCTGAACAAAATAATTTTGCCAATATTCACCTTCATACAATAAGTAAACAAACTGATAGAATTGAAGATATGATTCTCGACATGAAGAAACCTCTTTCTCACCCGATGATTATACCATCTTTTCCACCTCAGATTTTTACTAATACCAAATTAAGGAATAATAAACCTCTTGATGATCAAATCCAGGATTTTAATGAAGAATCAACCAAGAGATTAAAATATATAGAAAACAGAAAATCTCTTGCTATAAATGTCCTATCTGATCTTGAATCACAATTTGATGATATGACCCACTCTGATCACGATTTTGACAAACCCCTAACAATCCAGAGTATAACAAAACATCCATTTTCTTCCAATAATACAAAGAATTACTATAGGAGACCCACTCCTGCCGATATGCAATTTGAAGAAATTAATAGCCAAAAAATCAGTTTTGATGGAAACTCCCTTGTAGAATGGAATCTTGATGGATATACTGAATACCAGATAATACATCTTTTACAAGAAATGCTCATATATGCCAATGCTTGTAGACAACAATACCAGATAATACATCTTTTACAAGAAATGCTCATATATGCCAATGCTTGTAGACAACAAGGTAATCCCTAAAAAGATATTGCTAGTGGCCTATGCTCATCATTCTCTGGCCAACTACAGGGATGGTGGGATCGGTACCTTACTGATTCACAAAAACATAATATTTTAAATAGTTATAAAAAAACCCAATATGGTGAACCAATCATTGATAAGACAGGACAAGTGATTAATGATGCTGTCTATACCCTGCTCCTTGCTATATATCATCACTTTATAGGTCTTGTCGATAGCCTTCAAGATAAAGTCAGAGAACAACTCATAAATTTTAGGTGTAAAACCCTTACGGACTTCAAATGGTACAAAGATGTGTTTTTGTCAAAAAATTATCAACTACATGACTGTAATAATCCCATTTGGAAAGAAAAGTTTATTTCTGGCCTTCCA